AATAACTTCTCCAGATCTCACAAGTTTTATACTTCTGATGAGGTGCTGTTGCTACTGATGGAAAATGTTTTCCTTGACCATCTTAGCTTTAAGTTTATATTTTTTACTATTAAAAACACTATTAAATTGACCAGACTGTTTAGTCTCAGTAAGTCAGGTAAGCACAGCACATTTACTCATCCAGAGAAGTCATGCCAATGACTATACCTCAAACTAACCAGTTGCCAATGGCTGATTTGGGAGATGGAGGAATAGGAATATATCCAGGCCTTTCATGACCAACCTTCTGGGTCTGATCAAACACTTTCAACTAAGGTTTAATCAAGATTAGCCTAAAGACTTAGTTTGGGGTTATGCTGAGTCATCAACAATCATTAAAATTTTAAAATGCATTAAAAAGTAAATATTTGACAAATACATTACTAGCAAACAATGCACCCATCAGACTCAAATTGGCAATTACCAATATTTCTGTCAAAAGATTTCCTCTTATTGGGTGAGGTAAGTCAAAATTTCCTTGGGTAAATAGTGGACATTTTGACAAAATATTAAAAAGCCACTGGCTCTAAGTACAATTCACATTACAATTCATAAATTGTCATTCACCTATTTTGTGACCAAGTCAGACGTTACGTAACCACCACTACACATCAAATTACTTTTGTATTTTTAAATAATTCACTCCAACAACCATTTAATTATGTGCAACTTTTAATAATTCACTGGAGTCATTGTTAACAGGCAACATTCATGACACAAACCAGTGTATGCAGTATATGAAAGGAACACATTAAGTAATCAGACATTCAAAAGTGCTTTTAAACTCTTAAAATTTTTCACGATTAGATATACAAGAAAATACTACAAAATAAAAATTCAATCTCTAATGATTAATGTTGGCAGAACTTAAAGTGAATTCTACTCAGAACAGTGCTTATCAGCAAACAAAAGTTAAATATAGGATAAAAGATCTGTATTTTACAATAATTACATAATTAAATATATATATAAAATATTAACAACTTTGACACTTATTTTTAGTTTGATGAGCACTCAAATAACAAATGCTAAAATGGCCAAAGTATACTAAGGATCTTCGCCATTAATGACTCTAGCTCACTAGTTCAGGCTGAACATTCACCCTCCGGAGAACTTCTTCAGGCATACAGAAAACAGGGTTAACGGACTTAATCTGTTCGTCTCCCAAGAGCGATAGTCCAGCAATTCCAAATAATGTATGAAAAGGATCTACCTATTTTTAAAAAAGGAAAGCAGTTTATATACACTAGCAGAAAATGATAACATCCTTAATACTGACTGGTAAATGCCATTGTTGCCTGTGTGGAGCTCTATTTTAGGTACCCCAAATAAGCTAATTCCCATCACAGCATTAATTACAGTAATGAAACTGGTCCACCAAAAAGACAATGGTGCTTTATGAATATACTAGCAATGCCGGGCCCCCAATTTTTTTAAAAACTTGGTGTAAAATTTTACCGAAATATGCCTTAAATTATTGTTCCAATTGACCAAGCCCACCCCTTAACTCTGACTTTAATGAGATTGCCTCCAGTCTCTTCACGATTTATGTTCATGCTTCAACCATTTCCAACATAAAGCAAAATAAATGCTTAGAAAGCAACCCATGTTTAAGTCTGGACATGTCTAAACACAAACACGAAAATTATGGCATGCATGAATATTCTTACACTTACCATATCTCCTGGCCTGTCTGAAAATCCCCCCGTTTCTTCATCTTGACATGCTAAAATGAAACTACGCAGTTTCTCTCTGTCAATCCAATGAAGCCTTCCAATGATCTTTAGGGAAGCCAACACCCACCAGGAGTAGCAGACATCTGGTAACTAAGAAAAAGCAGGATGAGTTGTCGCCAATTTTTGCTCTCTCAATGTTTACGTCCATATCATTGTGAGGAACATTTTTCAAGTGAATTGCCTCAAAGAAATGTTCAGGTAGGCTTGCAATGCTAAAATCTATTAATTGTTAGAATTAAAGATGACCAGAAGTATAGGTACCCGTTCTGAAAGTTACGTTACAAAATAATGATTCATTTGCCATTCATTGAAACTAGTGACAGCAAAATATGCCTAACAAACCTCCACACCCAGTTTATTTTCAGATTCTTTATGGATGCTTTTGTTCTCACCATAGAATTATGTGGTTGCTATTGGGCCACAGAGGGAAAATATTTACTATCTGGTTCTTTAGAAGTACCTGATTTAAATATAACATAATATATGTAAGAAAATTAAGCATTATTGGCCCCAAGAATGACACTTTCTATTCTTTTAAGGTGTTTGTTTAGGAAACCCAAAGGTGCAGTTCTATCCTATAAATAGGGTCTCTATAAAAAATGACTAGATGGCATGAGTTTGCGGTTTTGGTACTGTCCATAGGTAAAAAGAATTTAAGGATCACTTGGATGGGTCAGTATGACAATATCAACTGCATTGTTTGTATTTACATTTGATGTGTGCTTTCTAAGAACTTCTTGACTATAATTACTACTCAAGTAATGCTTTCATGAATGAAAGGGATTTACTGGGATTAATACTCAAATTAGCATTAAATCCAAACTCGTGCATATCCAGAGAGGTAGACTGCACAGTAAATTTCTAGATTAGAAGAAAAAATCTGGATACTAGTCTCAGTAAATGGGTAAGTCAGCATAATGGTAGGAGGTAAATGTAAACCATTTCTGTAGCAGTCAAAATGCCATGTCCCTTAAACCCAGTTAATGTTACAGGAAGTCAGAACGCAGCGTGCGCGCATTTCTTTAAGCGCTTCTTAAACAAAAGCCTGGCTTGACAAATCATTTCAGCTTAAGTGCTCTACACTTTTATGAAGACCACTCTTTGAAAAATTACAAGGACGTACATAAAAAACTATGTAAGCTTTAATTATAAATACACAGGGCAAAGAACGTTACTCAAGTTCATAAGGTTATTAGAATATAGCTTATCTTATCACAAACAATACCTTCTCTGGCCTTCCATTGAGTCCACCTGATGGCAACTGCCGTTCACAAAGCCACCAACCAAGTAAGTCAGAGTTTACTTGATGCAACTGACTAGTAATAGCAAGGAATCCTGTGCAACAATAGATCTAAAATTACAGACAGAAAGTGTACATGTATAAAACTCAATTTTTCACCATTAAAAGCAATTAAACATGTAAAATTTGATAAGCTCACACCACCTAGCTGCTTGAACAGTGTGGGTTAGGCATTGGGCTTGCTAACCTAAAGGTTGGCAATTCAAAGCCACTAGCAGCTAGAAGGGAGAAAGATAAAAACGTACTCAAGCAGCTCTACCCTTCCTATAGTACCATTACTAGTGGGAATCTGATCTAGGGTTTAATTTTACTCGTCTTTGGCCTAAATCTTGAACACATCTACGTTATTTGATAGGTTCAAATTCTGCCCCATAACTGTCAAAATATTTCAAGCTATTTCCTTTCTCTAGCACATCAAGAAAATAGGTGCTATTTATTAGCTTGGGTAGCAGAGACTTGTTTCTAATGTTTGCCTGGCCAGAAAATTCCACAAAGAGGGGAAAGTTTCTAAGAGAAACTATTATTTTAATTTGTATTAGCAAATACCTGTCCAGCATGAGATTCAGAGCCTGGTCTGCAACCAAATCCACCATCAAAGTTCATACATGACAAAACAAATTCAATTGCCTTTTCCATATTAATAGCATCCAGCTTCCCCTACAAACAGAAAAGAGACCCATTCAAGTCCACCACACTCACCCTTATTTAAACACCACAGTACAGGATTGGAAACTTACCAATAAAGCCAATGTTGCCACCGCACAGAAAGAAAATCTTGTGTCAATCTCTCCTAAAAGGATCAAATCAAAGTAAAGCACGTATTATATTCAGTCACCCTTAACAAAACTTCATTTAAGATTCAGGTATTTTTAGGTCTCAGAGTAATTCTAGAGCTAAAATAGTAATAATCAAGTTTAGTTTCAGAATACATGCCAACTCATCATAGACCCAAAAAATCCCAAAGAGCAACTTCGGATGTAAGTAAAATACCAAAATCTGTACAATTACGGATTATCGTTTTTTTTCAATAGTTCAGGATTAACTCTTTCTTAATGAGAAAAGCCAAATGATCTAATAAACAACAGAGCAAACTAGTTTGTTACATTAGAACTAAGGACTAGTGATTTTTGTATCATTAAACTTACCCTATTTTATAAAAGTAGATTTTCACATCCCATGAAGCAGCTGGTCTCTCCGGCCTGCACTATGACAGCCCTAAAGCAGAGATTATCTACATTTACCAGGTAAAATTGTACTCCCTCCCTCCAATGAAATAGTCAGCGAGTTTGTAAAGTTTCTTTAATTCCGGCATCCTTTAAAAAAACTTCACAAAGCCACCAAAATATTGGGACTAGAACTTCACCTACCTTATCTTTTAGACTGGCCCCTCTGTTCCAGTGTTCCTGATGCTGATATAACTACCACAGTGCATGCTAGAACTCCCAGCAGACCTGTTAATTCCCATTAGACCAGCTGCTTAGTGGGACCTGAAAAGATGAAAAACTTAAAAATTTCAACTTCCACTAATACATTTAAACAGCTTTGTTCTATAATTTTCTTGTAAGTTGATTACTACAAAGCTTCCAACCCATTAGTTTTAAAAAATCACCTGCCAACACCAAGTTCGCACTTACTCCCAAGACACAAAAATAACACAGCAACGCTGGTGTTTTTGGTATTATGGATTAAAATGTGGCATTACCCCAAATGTCTCCAGCAAAAGAGCCATCATCTTTCTGTAGACTCTGAACATATTCCACAACTTTATTTACATCAATAGCATTAATGCTATCATACAGAGTAAGAATCTGCAACAAAAACAGTCCACATTAAAGTTATTCTCTTCACAATAGTCCAATCTGTCCTGCTGATCTGGCTCAACTACCTTTTAGTTGTCTAGCAAGCCTACTTTTGCTTTCATACAAACTATCTCAAACTCGAATACTTTCTACAATGCAACTTAAAAAGCATTAGCTTTCTATAACTAATTTAAAATCTTAAATTCTAAGATATCGAACTTTTAAATCATTTAACTCCACCTATTGATTTTCATAGATTGAGATAATATCCAAGGTCTCAGTGTAATTCTAGAGCTTGATGATACACATCAACTTTAGATTCAGTTAATACATGCCATGACATCATTGACCTTGTAAGTTACAAGCTTCATTTGGAAAGATTAATCTGACTTTTTCTTCCCAATACCTAGTTTGGATTTCCCCACTTTTAGGTCAGAGCGCACTAGATCCAAGACTAACATTGAATTTACCTGGACAGCACTAAGAGTATACAAAAGATGTGGGTCATGTCCAATACTAGCACTTATTCCACCACATTCATGTTGACATGACTTAATAAACTTCAGTATTTCTTCTCTGTTCATGCGATGTAGTTGTCCCATGAGATCCATTACTGTCAGACCCCAATAGATGCCACTCATTCTTAAGTATTCAGACATACAGTACTCCTAAAATAAACAATTATTTATTAAAAACAAAGTATGGTACCATATTGTCAAACCTATTTCTATACTACCAGTGAAGTTGCAGCTAAAATTTAGTTATCAATTTCAAATGATTCAAAATCTATAGATTATGCCGATGTGTCTGTGCCCAACATTTAGTGCAGAATTGTAGTTTCTACCCAAAGCCAACTAAAAGTAAAATAAGTGTTGTTTGGGGGAAAATGAATGTCATATTTAACAGATGCCATGCTTGTTTTAATCTGTACTTGGTACATAACTTATTAGCTGTCATTTACATAACTTCCACTTGGAAGCCAAAATGACTAAAGCTTTCAGCACAAGTGTTATGAAAAATGATAGCTACGGAGACATGAGAATCTCTAGTCTAGAAATTCTTGCCAATTAACAATGTATCCCATTTTAGAGGTCTCAATCAGGCAAGCTTCCTAGCCCCAAAATGAGAGTTTAAATAGGCTAAGTGGGAGTGAATAAAATTTAGGAGAATGCCAAGGCCTGCCTCGTTAATCATTCAGTGGGTTTGGGGGAGCCCCCATGACCACCCTACTCCATGAACACTGCTACTGTGGACAATTAACTATAAAGTGGAAGGCTACACCCTAAAGGCTTAAGCCTAGAACTTCAATAAATGCTCCCTAGGATGCTATGTCAATTGTTAGCATAGCTGGTTACTCACTGCCTTTAAGGCAATACCAACTCATATAGGGCATTGCTGTTTATTTTTACAAAAAAGAAATTCTTTACAGTAGAGAGCCTTTCCCATGGTACTGCTGAAGGGACCCCGTATAGGTTAGGCAAAAATACTTCTCAGCATAAATTTTTGTTTTCAGAGAAAACCGCTTTTAGTCCCCTGGTAACTTTAAGGTCTCAGCGTAACTAGAGCTAAGTGTTATTCACACATCAGCAGAAAATTCAGATAATACATGCCAACACATCATTGACCTTGAAAGTATTTCCATAACTACCAAAATAGTCAGGGGAGAACCAAGGCCAATCCTCTTATATAGAGCCTGAATCTCAGATATCCAATGTCATGTACTTCACTTTGAAACTGAGAACATTTGTCTTAGATAGGCAAACCGTTTAAGAAACCATAGGTATAATACTGTTATTGCTATACTAATTATGCATAAATACAGCCCACTTTTTAAAAATACAGTAAAATAATACATACATAATCATCTTTCTTTGAGCCATAGGACACTATATAATCTGCATGTTTCTCCAGCAACAGAGTATTCGGTGCATCTGACTTGATAACAACATCCTTTTGTGGTGTACCCTTTCAAAATATATAACAAAACATTATCTCATTATCTCGTGTTCTTCTCCTGAGCATCTACTTGCACTTTTTGTGTGGCAGATAGTGTCAAAAAAAAACCCTAAAGCACTTTAGTCCCATTTAAGTCAAGATTTATTATCCAGGTCTCAGAGTAATTCTAGAGCTAAAGAAGCAATAATCAACTTTAGATTCAGAATACATGCCAACTCATCATTGACCAAGAAAATTACTAAACTCTATCTGCGTTTCTCCTTTTACTGCCCTCTTAATTCACCTCACAAAGTTTTAGACGGATTTCCCAGCATTTTCTCTGTAGCCCCAAAGCTAGCCTCTTCAACCTCGACTTCTCTGCATTTTAAAAGGCAAACAGGCAATGCACATGCTGCTCTACTCGTTTCCACTTAACATCTACAACGTGGTGATTACAGATGCATGGGAAACCACCAAACGAGACGACTGAATCGTTAAGTTCCTGAAAAACATTAAAATTTTATACTAGACCGTCAACAGAATCGAATTATTTCGATAGTCTTTTTAGCTTTAAAGAATTAAGAAATCGGCTGCCCCATCCTACAAGGGAGGCCCTACCAAGAAATCCTTACATAAATTAAAACAGGGAACTGGGCCCGCGCGGCCAGCAGGAAACGCTGAGTAACACTCCCACAGCCGAGCCTCACGGAATCTCCCAAGGCCTAGGTTTTATCCCAACTATTTATTCTTCGAAAGTTAACAAACAGCCCTATGGCGGCTGGACGGCCCGACATTACCTCCACGGCCTCCCTCAAACGCAGAGCTCACTCGCACAACCACACTCACCATGTCGGAACAGGAAAAGAGAACGCCTGGGTAACCTCTGGGGAGACTTAAACGCCCCGCGCCTGCGCACAAGCGCACATCAGGCCCCCTCCACGCCCTTGCTTAGGTGACCACACTGTTGCCTGAAGAAAAACTAATTCTATTACAGCTGTAGGACCCCGCAGGCTGCTCATAGGTGTCCTCGCTGCCTGTACCCGAGTGAGTGACGCCCACTGCTGGAGAGTTGGTCCCGGTGCAGTGACCCAGTGAGACTGTAAAACAGCGGTTCTCAACCTGTGGGTCGCGACCCCTTTGAGGGTCGAAGAACTTTCACAGGAGTTGCCTAAGACCATCGGAAAACACATAAATATTTCCCAATATATAATTACATTGTTTTGTGATTAATCACTGCTTTGTTTAATTTTGTTCAACTTGTAACAATGAAAATCCATGCATATCAAATATTTACATTACAATTCATAACAGTAGCAACATTACAGTTATGAAGTATCAAAGAAAATAATTTTATGGCTGGAGGTCACAACACGAGGAACTGGATTACAGGGTGGAGGCATAATGGAGGTTGAGAACCACTGCTACAGCACTAACAGACCCCTACCTAGGGTTTAGGAGGCAAGAAATTTTTTATGGATGGAAACTACCCCTTTCCTTCTCCTACACAGTGGCTGGAGGTTTCAAACGCCTTTTGATTAGCACCCCAATGCTGGAGAGCATCTTTACCAACAGAATCGAATAGATCCTGAGTTTTCTGGACTGTAAAGTTTTACTCTCACCTGTAGGGTCGGTCACTCTGAGTCAGAATAGGCTTGATAGTAGTGAGTTTGGATGGTTGGTTTGGGTTCTTTTTAGACTATAAAGATGAGGAGCTAGTGGGTTTAAACTGAAAACCTGCGTTTAGCAGCCCAATGCCTAACTCACAAGGACACCAGGGAGCCTTTCACCTATCGCCAACCAAAATAACCACATTCACTGCCATGGAGTCAATTCTTGTAACCCACCATGCCACCAGAACTTTTTTGATGTATCACAATATTTTCTAAAATTATGTATCACCTCCAATTTTCTAAAAATTCTAAAATAATTTTTAAACATAGCTTAAGCTCTTTGAACTCAAGAGATCTGAAATGACCAGTAATTAATATAGCAGCAGTGTTACGTAGTGTTCAATAAATCCGTTTGGATTTCCTTCCTTTTGTTCACTTTCAAATCCAGTTTCCTCCTCCTGACCCCTCTTGAAAAGCCTATATAAGTCAACAACGCTACTATTTGTAATCTGTCCCATGGCAATGACTTCCTTGGGGAATAGTTAACCAGGTATAGCTTTGGGTTTGTTTTGTCTGTTACTTGCAACATTTATGTAGCTATGTTTTAAGCTTGTCTTGCAAACAGCACATGCCTGATTTTATGCCACTCTTTGTCATTTAACCTCAGCCCAGTTACATGTCTGTGTTGTGGCTATTTATTTAGACTTCTTTATATTACAATTTACTTTCAATTTTTTAATTCTTTTAATTGTTTTAGTCTTTCTTGCCTTCAAAATAGTGTGTATGTTTTAATTACTTGTTTCCTAATTCTGTTATTTTCACTTTTGGTTTAGAAGTTGCAAACTCTATTACTTTTCTGGGTACTTATGAATGAATTCTAGGAACGACAGAGACTAAACTGCAAGAGAGGGGGTTATTGGAGGAAACCTGAGAAGGGCCTCAGACCTGAGTCCGAAGGAGCTCTCTGTACAGATTAGCAAGATTTCATAGCATTAGGCAAGGGGGTAGTCTTTGGGTACATTTGGAGGCAGGGTACTGTGGACTGGGGTAATTCCAGGAATCAGGGTCATCTGCAGGCAGGTGGGAGATTTTGAACATGAGGTTCCTTCAGGGAGTGTTTGTGTTGTTTATACTAGAAGATTGGGGTGGGGGTGCATTTCTGTGAATCATTAACCTTTCATTTCCAGTAAACAGGAAGCATAAAAGGAAGAGAGAGATTATCTATGTCTATCTGCCTACTTCCTTACCAACTGAGTTTGGGTGTCATGGGGCTCCTTGCTACCTGTGCTGCTAGGTCTGAAGTAGGAGAATGTATTGGGTTTCATCTTGAATTACGAGCTTTGTGACTAGACCTAAATTACCTAGGGCAAAACCAGTAAAAAAAAAAGTATTGCTTCTACAGGCCTCAGAAGGGTAGTACCCATTTTTGAGGGCCTGAGAGAAAACCCCATGTGCTGTTGACCTGTTGTTGCAGTTTTATAGCTCTGTTTTTCAGTTTTGAGATTGAGTCTTATCTTGAACAAATCCTGATTTATTGATATAAAAGCAGCAGCCATCTTGTAAAGCTAAGCAAATGCCTCCTTTTTCTGCTGTTAAGAGGTCTAATCCTCTCCTGTTTTACAGGACTACTGCTGCTAGGGTGTAAATCTGGGTTTACAGCATTTGGATTCCTTCCAAGATTCCGGTTAGGGTTTCTGCTAATTCTCTTTATAAGGTTCACATAACATACAGGAAGGTTCTTGTTCCTCCTATCCCCAGCCCCATGCTTGCAGTTAGGCCTAAGCCTTCCAGTAGTGAGGTCACACTGTGCTTGATAGCTGAAAATGGTGTTTCAAGTGGGACAGGCACACTGGATTCTACTGAAAGGAGTGCTTTATCAGGTGCCTGATATATTCTACATAGGCCAGTCCAATTCGTTAGGAGACAAACATAGGTTCCAGCATCACATAGAAAGAAGATTTATTCTTTGTCAAGACAGACACAGATGTCTACTGTGAACTACCAAGGGAGATGACCTCTATAATTTCCCTGTATATGAAGGCTGTGGCTAAAGTGAGGCTGTTGAATAATTGAAATGGTGCTTGGGTTGAGAGAGGTGAGTTCGAGCCATTTCAGTTTTTCACATGAAGAAAGAGTCCCTTCAGGTCTACCCGGGCTGCCAGTTTTGCTGTTATTTCTGGCATTTAGGGAAAAAAAATTTTATTTCAGGCATTTTTTGTTACGGTTTACCTAGTAGTGTTTTTCACACAGGTAGTCCAAGGGGGAATAGCTGTGCCACTTGAACAAGGCAGACCTTCGCAAAACCCCATTAGTTCTGTCAAGTAAGGTGCATGAGTGAGTAGAATTTTTGGCTAGCCCTTATATCATGATGTTTTAAGGGTGGCTCATCCTCTGGGATTATGATGGACATGGTTTTTGGTTTTGTGATGAGATCAGCAGGCAGAAAGAGATAAAGGGTGGCTTTGCCCACCTATCAATGTTGTAACAGCTCTGGAAGGCAGGATTGCTGTGAAAGGAGACAGTGGAACTCTGGACCGCGTCAGTACTTGACAGAATCAGATTTCAACACGAAAGGCGGGGACAATTTTGCATCAGAGCTAGAACAAAGCATAGCAATCCAACCTGACTCTCGTGACTTTTGTAAACAAAAGCAGTTAGTGTTTTGGTCGCTCAGCGTTGGCTGGCATTGTTAGTACGGCGGTTTAACCCTTGTGTGGCTGTGTTCCAAGCATTTCACTATAATTTTCTGAGTTTTTGTGGCTTTTGTAATGTTATGATAAAAAACATGGGTTCTAAGAAACAGTTTTTTGAAAAGAATCATTATGATAAGGAACTGGTTGACCATGTTATCGATATTGTTGATAATTTAGTAAACCCTTGTAGACACCAGTTAAGGAAATGTCAACAGCAGACTACATTGGACAGTTTTTTTGTTTTGTTTTGTTTTTTAGAGAAAGCCAGCCGGGTCCTTGTGAAAAAAGGCAACGAAGGAAAAAAAAAATTCCAAAAAGCAGCCACCAGTTGATCTTATGGAAGGGGATTCCCCTCCAAACAATGACTCTCTCTTTCCATGTCGCCTCTCCACACCCATGTCCACAGATCCAGATCCTCATCATTCTCAAGGTCTGGGCCATCTGCAGTTGTTAAAAACTTTTTTAATGTTGTGCTTCTTATTTAAATTATATTATTTAACTCTGAACTTATTTAATTTGAAATTTGTGTGTGATGTTTTATATAGAAAGGCCAGGTTAGAGTAAAAACTCGGTGACCGAGAATGGATTAATCCATTTTCAGTTATTTCTTTGGGATTGATTGATTCAGAACTTGACTGCTTTGCATCTCGACGCTCCTTCTAGAATGGATTAGCATCTAGGTCCAGGGTTCAACTGTAACACAGAGAAAAGCAAGACTAAGAATGCAGATCCAAACAAATAAAATTAAAGGACCACACATAGGAACCCAGGAGGCGTTGGCTAAACGTCTTATGACAGTTTTCCAGAAAAGCAAGCAAGACAGTTAGGTCAGTCAGTTTTGGGTTAATTTTAACTTGAGAGGGTTTGTGGGGTCTTTGATATAACCGAAGGATGGAAGGGTAGAGGAACTAGGCATTTGCTTTAGAAGGTGAAGTGGAACCAGCGTGTCTTTCCTTTTAATGTTGCAGCCATGGGTGTGGAGAGGGTGACTTCAAAGGGGCCTGTCCATCTAGGTTTGAGATTTTTTGTGTGTGAGATTTTTTTAAAAGAGTGTTTAATAAGCCCTGATCTCTGGGCACTAGTGCGTATGGTGGATTTTGTGTAGGTGCTGGGAGGGTGTAGTTGGCTGTCTTTCACAGCAGGTTTCAGACTATTTGTAATAGAGGGCAGACTAAAGCCATGGGTAGAGATAAGTCACGCTGGGTTGGTGCTGTAAAAGGTGCCAGGGGCCTTATGTGCATTAATTTGAATGGGCTGATCATTAAAGGTTTTCAAGGAAGGGCTCTGAGTCTCAGAAGGCAATAGGCAACAGCGTGGTCCCCGTCTGCTGTGTTTCTGCAGCTGGTTTTGTGGGGGTGTTTTTTATTATGTCATTCATTTTTTTTCAAATTTTCTTGACTATATGAGATGTGAAAGTGGTAGGAAATTCATAGCTGTTTGGCTTTGGTTTGGGTGATTTCAGATATAGATTCTTTGCTAGAATTTACATTATAAGCTAAGCAATCACTGAATGTGAAAATACTATCACTTTTAACTAGGCATCAGCAAGGGGTTGTTGCTTCTAAGGAGAATTCCTTCTTATAGGGAGGCAGATGCCTCCTCCAGCTAGAGTGGTTACATCCA